TTGTAGATCCATTCCACAAGCCAATGTTACTGACCAAGTCTGACAGTCAGACAAAGTTAAGAGGAATTAGATTTTGCAAATGAGTTGGCTTGACACTTTTAGTTTAGTTTGTTTTAAACTTGAGAACATAAGCAATATAAGTGTTAATTCGACTTGGCGATTATTAAGTGGAGATCTTAATATATGATGGAGATCAGTCATTTCAATTAACTTATCACTGTGTTCTCCTTTTGCATGTTTGGAACCCACTTCCCGAGTATTAATTTACTCAAACGTCCACAGTCGTTCATACTCTTGGAAGTAAGTAGTGATTCAAGACTGTTATGAGCATTAGTGGATTGTCCATAGTGATTGGGCATAGCATAGAGATTGCGTTAACACTCATGAGTACTTAATAGAGATTTTAGTACTGGACCAACCCGTGCTTAGAGATTACTTCATGGATACAGTCACGAGTAATTCTAAGATGATAATATCTTCTATTCTTCAAACCTAGATACATGTGGGGTTTTGCTTTATGATTCTGTTATGCATTGGTCTACTCCGACTCTATCCATAAATGGTATTTATAAAGGGTATGTCCATGTGTGACATGATGAAGTAGACAAACCTATGTAGTCAAAGTTTATTTGTTCCTTCTGCCTTAAGAGGAGAAGCAATATATATGGGCCCCTAGATGATTTGGTGCTGAAATCTAAAGTGCTTGGCCGAACCCTGACTGGAATTGTTGTGTTCAATTTAGTAGTCAGATGTAGTTGTCACCAATCTATATCGGGAAACATAATCTTCAATTTGAGATTGACCATTATCCATGTCTCGAGTTCATACAGATAGCATAGAACGAAGGGATAGTTGATCACTTATCTAAGGGTTGAATCTTGATTAGATCAAGAGTTCGGTACTTGCATTGGATGGCTAAGTCTCTGTTGATTATTGGAGAAATATTGGTCCTCATATAGTTGATGACTTGTCCATGTGGGAGACTGTTGGAAAGAGTGTTCAAGGTCATTAACTGTTGGTAATATTTCTAATAATAACAGGGTCCTTTTGGGTTGCCCTCAAGACCCAAATTGAGTAGAATAAATAAAGGAGAAATTGGTTTATTAATTATTATGGTTAATAATTAATTAGAAATTAAATGAAATATATTTTGGGAATTAATTAACAGTTTAATTAATTAAAGGGTTGAATATTCATTAATCGATAGTTAGTTAATCAGGAATGTTCCAGAACCCTTATGAAATTAGGGTTGGACGAAAATCACTCCATCCCATATGGGAAAAGGAGTGAATTTCGTGGTTACCTCCTCATCCCACATGGGAAGGAGTACAAAACCTAGGAAGGGATCCAAGGCTATATAAAGGGCCTTAGGGATTTCATTCTTCCCCGCACCTTGGATTGAAGTTTCGTCAACCCTTCTCCATCCCCCTCTTAGGGATGATTTCTAACCCTCTTAGGGTTTGTGAAATTGACCATTATCCTAGTTATTTTATTCCACTCTTTGGTGTCATTGGGTGTGATACCATTAGAGGGATTCTGGTTTGGGTCCTCTCATCCAAGCAACTTCATGGAGAATCAAGATCTCAAGCATGGAGATCAAGGGATACATAAGAGGTATGTTTTTCTTCCTTATGTTTTGTTTTCTAGGGTATATGTAATTAGCATTAAACCATAGATCCATAGGTTGCATGTACACTTAGGTATATCATAGTTTCATTTTTTCCGCTATCTAGTTTAGAGTGTATTTTATGCGTAGAAAACCCAACAAATAATTGGTGCACTTATAATTGTTTCTGTTATAATGTCTTTTAGTTTTGTCATTATGCTTGATGGTTCCCTATAACAAGGTAAATAATTAGTAATTTTGTTGTTTTCTCGAAAATATATATGGTAAGTAAATTGGAGAACAAAACAAAAGAACCATTAGTCTAAGTTATTGTAGTTGAATTTTCTGTATTATAAATAAAAAAATCTTCAAAATCAATTCATTCTATTTGATTGAGGCTTTCGTTAATTGCATTTCCTAAATTCATGCAGAAATGAGAACCAAATGGGCAACATCTTAGTCACAAATTTCAACAATTTATCTAATATTAAAGTGAATGATGAGGGAAAAAGGAACAATTTGTGTGTTTTATGGGTATTTCAAATAGGAACGACGTGAAAGAAGGAAAGAAGGAGAAACGACCTCGAAAAAGGGAAAAGGTTTGAAACATAATCAGATTCCTGATTTCGAAAGGCAAAGTGTGTATGAATGTGATAAGAGAAGTGATAGAGAAACAATGGTGTATTGAGGCTTGTTGTGGGCTTGGACCTGATACATCCATGGAGTATGAAGCTTGTTATGGTTCTGCACATGACAATCATGATGAAAGGTATGTGAGTTTTGATCTTCGACTTCAATTCCCCAACAAAAAAGGTATCGTTCTTCCTTTTCTTGCTATATTCTTCACCGTTCACCTTCCAATTTCCACTATATATTATAAAAATAGTCTTGAATTGCAATCGTTGATGTTTTTGTGTAGCTTTAGAATCTCTTCTGTTTGAATTGCTGAAAGACCAAAGGATTGCATTTGTTGGGCTTACCATACATAATGTGTTTAACTAATGCACTAGTTTGTGTAATTGTGTATTACTAAATCTATGGAATGAATCTTCAATCTTAAACGAAATTCAGGAAGTTTGAGTTGGATCGACTAGGGTGGCAGAGGAAGTAGTAAGGAATGATTTCGAGGACGAAATCCAGTTTAAGTGGGGGAGAACTATAACATCCTATTTCGAAAACTTCTTATTTTAGGATTTTGAACAATAAATGGATCAAGTGAAGGCCTTGGGCTTCAAGGAATAGGGTTTAGACCCCATTGGATATGGATAATATTGGTTATATGATCCAAGCTCTTAGTTTGTGTTTTGGAGTCAAAGGGTAAAATGGGAAAAACGATGTTTTAGACTTCTTTCGTAAATTAAGAGTTTTGTTTCAGTATATGTTGAGTCAAAAGTAATTAGATAGGATTGTGGGGCTCTTCAATACCTTTCGTGCAAATAAAGAACGCCGAAAATGGAGTTGAAATGAAGAAGTTATGGTTGTTTGAAGTTAAGTTGGAAATGGAAGTCTGGCAGTAAGTTGGGCGTACACTGGGCAGTACGCTGGGCATACTAAGCTGAAGGGACGCATTTTTAGGGTATTACGTTGGGCATAATTTTTGGTACGCTGGGCGTACCTCCAAAGTGTTAAAACCCTAATTTCATAGTTTTGAGCCTTATTTATGGTCTCTAACCCCTTAGGGGTCCTTCCTATCATGAGCCTCCACTCTCTTGAGCCTTATTTATGGTCTCTAACCCTTATGAGTATTTTGGGTGTTTTGAACAATAGTTTGAGACTAGGTTATTATTTGTTGTATATGTGACCTGTGGAGTCAGCAGTTGGAGCTAGTATCTGTTCAGTTATCTTTTCAGACTGTGAGGTGAGTTTTCCTCACTGTACTTATGGGTCGAATGCATCAATTTCAGCCCATTGGATTATGTATCCTGGTATATTGGATTGATGTTGTGCTGGTTATGCGATAGACTGGTAGGTCTGTACGATTACATGTGTTCACTAAGTATGTGTTAGATTGGTAGATCTGTCGGATTATCAATACTTGCTGGTTATTGATTGTTATTGTATATGTCGACATGTTATGGTTTGTGTTGGGTTGAGTCGGTCTTGCTTTGTGTTGAAGGCCAAGATACCCGGGCGGTCCAGATAGGCTGAAGGCCCAAGAGGCGGACCAGTCAGGTCGAAGGCCCGGAGAGCAGTCCAAATATGTTGTAGGCCCTGCGAGGCGGTCCGATCAGGCTGAAGGCTCATATTTGCATGCTGTTATCTGTTCGGTTGTATGTGGTACTTTGGGGAAAACTCACTAAGCTTTGGTTTACAGTTTAAGTTTTATGTTTCAGGTACTTCAGATGATCGTGACAAGACGAATGCTTGATCGTGCATATCCTTCAGTTTTTATGAGATTTGATTTTGGGATACTCTGATTTGTGGTTTTGACTTTTGGAAACTAAGTTTTGTAAACATTTATGGTTTGTGATTTGGTTTTGAAAAATGAAAATTTTATTTTGATTTTTGGGATGTTTCAACTTTGATTGAATGTTAAATTTACATTTAATTTTTGTTTGTTGAATCAAATTAACAAATATATTGCACTGAGATCCATATACTGGATTGTAATACTATGTAGATCCTACCTGAATTTGATTAGGGTGTATATCTTGATATAAACACATAATTTTACTATGACTTCAACTGCTATGTAGTAACTTTTTTTGGTATGATTTGGATGATTTATACTTTCAACTTTCTATTCGAATCTGTTCAGGTGGATGATGAAATCTGAGTTACCTATTTCCCATTAGATTTGGGTTTTCTTTCTTAAAATGTAAGTTGTAGCTGCACAGAAAACAAACATTACCATTCTAAAGTTTTGATTGATAATTTTCCAAATTCTATACATCACACATGTTAAAAACACAAAAACTATCAATATATTTCTATCAAGTTGTTTATTATAGTATTTTACTTCTGCTTCTCCTACTAAAGTTCTATCAATTATAGCCATGTCATTGAATGCACCCTTGAAATTTTGGAGCCTATAATAAAAAAACAGAAATTTTGACCCATGGCGTAGCATGGGCCTCTTTCCTTCTTTCCTAATATATTCATTAAGATAGTTAAAAATATGTACACAAAGACAGTTTTGTAATTCTCATGTATTTATGAAAATTGAATTTTTAACGGAAAGTATCTTTTTACTTATTATTTTCCATAAAATCAGATAATTGACATGGAAAAGTGAATCTTGATGTTTGCTTTTTCCTAACAATAAATCAAGGTAATATGTGATGAGTCATCAATTAACCCGCACGCGTGCACACACACGTACATGCATATTCTCATTTCGCTTCCACCCTCCAAGTATATATTAGTCATCAACCAATAATATTTTAAACACCCACCGGAAACCACCCAAAACAGCCGTTATGGAGTCCATTATCAACTCCTTCGTCCTCTTCACCACCACCACATCCGCAGCAATCTTCGTCTCCGCCCTTGTGTTTGTTTTCTTCACCTTCTTCTTCATCAAAAACCGCCGGCGCCGGCCATGGAAAATATCGTCGCCTGTACCATCGTCGTCGGTGGTGGTTAGGAGGATTCTCTTAGGCACCACGGGATGGCCTTTCATCGGTGAAACCCTAGATTTCATCTCCTGCTGTTACACCGATCATCCTCAATCGTTTATGGATAAACGTCGTCTCTTGTAAGTTCCAGCTGATCATATGTCTCCTTTACGTTTTACTCATTTCTGCTTATCGTTTTCGTTCAGTTTCGGATCAAAACGAATTTCGAATTTCAAGTCTGAGTTGTGATCAAATTATATTTAATTTTTGATAGGTATGGGAAGGTGTTCAAATCCCATTTGTTTGGTAGTCCAACGATCGTGTCGACTGATGCAGAAGTGAGTAAATTTGTGTTACAAAGCGATGCGAACAGTTTCGTGCCTTCATATCCGAAATCACTCACGGAGTTGATGGGAGAGTCGTCGATTCTGAGGATCAATGGAAGCTTGCATCGGAGAATCCATGGCCTCATTGGTTCTTTCTTCAAGTCGCCGTATCTAAAAGCTCAAATCACTTCTGACATGCGAAAATTACTTCTTCAATCCATGGCTACATGGAATGAAGATCGTCCTATTTACATTCAAGATGAAACCAAACATGTATGCTCTCTCGATCCTTATAGTAATTTCATATACAGCACAATTTTACTAAAACAATTTAAGTTCATTGGTTGTAATTAAATCATACATATCATCTTTAACAAATTTAATTATTTTACATCAAGAAGTCAAGAACATTGTGCAAAGCTAATTAATACAGAAAAAAATTATTTTTGTCTTTATGTACATTACTTTATAGCCATACAAACAGATTAGTTTAATTAATTTGCCTTCCATATTTAATCATGATCATTTCCCTTTCCAAAAAAAAAATTATGATCATTCCTATGAGGCTGTTTCTTTTTTTAATATTTGTTTGGATTTAAATTTATTTTATGGTATTTATCAAAATTTCAAAATTGTTTCTACAAAAAGAGTTGTAAAATCATTGAAAATCGACATTTTATGTCCCTATTAATTAATGCTTTCTTTGACAAAGAGTAGTGTTTAACACAACCTTGTAGTTTATAAAATTTAGGATACGAAAAAAAACTTGGTGAAAATTTGATTGCATGTGTTAAGATTGAGACATTTTTTTGTCTTTGCTTTTAATTAAACCTCTATTTTTACATCAAGTGAAAGCTACCCTTCTTGATTGATGGTTAACTATTTTGGCCTATTATGAGAAGAAAAAACAAATTCGCAAAACTAAAGTAGTTTGTTTGGATGTCTAAGTGTGGGGAAAAAAGATTTAAACAAGTAGCAAGTTACAAAAGTAAATGTAACTTTTGATTTTTCTCTTACACTTTTATGGTTTAAAGCAATTACATCCCTTGTTATTGGTTACATAATCATTATAAATTACTTATTTTGTCTACAAATATCACCACCATATGGTCCATCTTATTAATCGTGTGTTCCCTACTCCTTTTAAATGTCGCTATTACATTTCCATTTCCCCATTTTCTACAGTTGTTTTTCTTAATATTCATATGTTCACATTTGAAATAGTTATTGTAATCTAAATAATTATTATTGGCATTGTTATTTTTTAGATCGCATTTCAAGTACTGGTTAAAGCTTTAATCGGACTGGATCCCGGTGAAGAGATGGAGTATTTAAGGACCCAATTTCAAAAATTCATTGCGGGACTCATGTCTTTACCTATAAAATTACCTGGAACTCAACTTCATCGATCATTACAAGCCAAGAAAAAAATGGTAAATTTGGTCCTTCAAATTATTCAGGATAAAAAAATAAAAAGAGTTGGTGTTTGGCAAGATTCAACGGATGTGGCTGATGTCCTCCTCAAGGATAAGAGTGAAAAGTTAACAGATAAATTAATATCTGATAATATGATTGATTTAATGATTCCCGGAGAGGATTCCGTGCCATTACTAATGACACTAGCTATCAAATACTTGTCAGATTGTCCTAAAGCTCTCCATCAACTTAAGGTACGTGAATCTGTACATTTTTGTTCAGGTTAACTGTTAATTATATCACCTCATTAACACATTTTTGTTGATATGATACAAGTAACTTACCAAATTCAATAAAAGTTATTGCAATATTCAATAATTAGTACACATTTATATTAAGTTGTGATGACAATTTTTCATCCCTAATGATCATTTTCTTACCTACTTTGCTTGTGATGATGATTAGGAGGAAAATTTGGAGTTAAAGAAACGTAAAGAAGAGCTCGGAGATCCGTTGTGTTGGGATGATTATCTATCGTTGCGATTTACACAAAGTGTAAGTTATAACAAACTATATATTAGTTTCTTTTTGTGAGTTAACGTACCTAGCTAAACAAGAGTAATCAGTAATGATGATTGAAATTAAACAGGTGATTACAGAAACCCTAAGAATGGGAAATATAATAATGGGAGTGATTAGGAAGGCTATGAAAGATGTGGAGATCAAAGGGTACCTCATACCAAAAGGATGGTGTGTGTTGACTCATTTCAGATCGGTTCATCTTGATGAAAATCACCATGACTCCCCTCACCAGTTCAACCCTTGGAGGTGGCAAGTAAGCTTTCTTTTTTTTTTTTCTTAAATATAATATTATATAAGCATATTTTTTCTAGGTTTTCCTATAGGTCATATAGGATTCATGCAAGGTGTCCTATAAAAGCTAGACAAATTTCCTCCTTGACCCTTTCAGAAAAAAATGTCGACAAATTAATTGAAACCTAGCTAGGTCTTTTACTTTTGTGTTGGGAGTGTTTGATGTGCATGTTTATAAAATTATCTATTATTGCAATTTCAAGTTTTAGATAAAAAATTTCCAAAGTTTGGGTAAAATTCTAATTTTGATTCAGATTATTTGTTGGTCAAAAATGAGTTTTGGATAAGTTAACAAGAAGAATGACTGTCCAAATAAAAATAAAAATTATTATATTATATCAAACCTTTTTCTAACTAACTCACAAATAGATAAATTTATAAGAAAAAAAAAGGTGTTAGAGTTATAGATGATAAAATAGATTTATTGAATCTTTTGTGTTACATGTACAGAATAAGGACATGAGCAGTGGTAGCAGCAGTTGCTTCACTCCTTTTGGAGGAGGACTAAGGCTCTGTCCCGGGCTTGATTTGGCCAGACTCGAAGCTTCCATATTCCTCCACCACTTTGTTACCGACTTCAGGTAAAATCAAATCTTTGTCAAGGGCATAATGGTAATTTCACCACTTTCGTAAAACTTAGAAGTTAAAACACTCACTAATTCTCCAAACTATATAAGGAAATGAAGAAAGTATATAGACCTTGGTGGTTTTATACATATGTTTGTCTGCTTAATTTCCTAACCTAGCGCCATGTCAAATGACTCTTTTACCCATACCATCCATGCATGCAGGTGGGTAGCTGAAGACGACACCATAATCAACTTCCCAACAGTAAGAATGAAGAATAGAATGCCAGTTTGGGTCAAAAGAGAAAATTAAGTGGGGTGGAGTGGGGGTGGGTGGGTGGTGTGATGATTGATGTCAATTGACAAAGACCCATATATGCTGGTCTTGCACAGCAGAATGTCGATGGGGGCCTTTAATTTGGTGTAAAAGCTGGAAGAAGAACCACACGTGTGGGTGGGGGCATCAAGTGAGATGATGAAATGTTTGTCCCATCTCCCAAATTATTACACACACATGCATATGTTAAAAAGGATTAAAGGATACATGTGGAGAGGAGTTCAATAGGAACACTTAAATATATAAACTTGAATAGGGTTAATTAATTTTTCATAGTTACTTTTTTTCATATTGATTAGGGATCAAATCTAGTATAATTAATGTATAATGTTCATTAATATTACACGTACATGTATAAAGAGCGTAGGATTTTATCTTTATTTTTGTATAAACATTCTAAAAGACCACCTGTGAAAAGGTGAAAATTTTGTTGCTCTTTGTTGACACACTTATCTTATGTTGTAATAGTTTTATCAGTTTTATTTTTTATCATGGTTGAAGTGAAGTACTAGTATTTACACGATGTATATTTGAAGATTTGAGAAAGAGGATACATGCAAAGTTCACTAAACCTTTTAGGTTTTATTCAATAAAAATCTTACATTTTGATATTTCCTCATATTAAACTTAAAACTTTTCTTTTCTTTAAAAAAAGACTAAAATTTTATCTATTTTAATTTTGCTTGTTATTTCACCTATAATTTTTAAAATATAAATTGAGTTTATTCCAAAAAAAAAAAAAAACTTATGTTTTGCATTTATTTTTTCATTTTAGATTTTTTTAAATAAGTCTAACTTTAACTTATTCTTTGTTATTTCATTAATGGAGCCGGTTGCCAACAAATAATTTTATACCCCTTAACTCACGTACATCCTAAGCATGGATCACCTAAAAGAATAATCGATTAAGTCACGTTTCTGCTTCTTCCTTTTTTTTGTACACTACGTTGGATTTTGTGTAATGGCTTATTCCTTAAGCATCATGAATATAAACTTAGTAAGGAATGTTGAAATTGAATTATGATATTATGATGATTAAGCTTTTATATTTACCTCTTGTATCAAGGTTGTTTTCAAAATGAGACGCCCCTTTGCATGGGCTATTTGAAAATAACATTTAACAAAAACGTTTTAAAAGAAATCTAGAGTTTAGTTTGCAGAAAATGGTCCTAAATTTTAAAATTTCAAAACATGGTTAAGTTTGATTTGTAAAACATGCGAGTGTGTCTCTGTAACATATCAAAACCACAGTTTAAGTTACAAACAACATTCTCAGTCTTCTAAATGTCGAACAACTATTAATCCTCTAATACATCTACCAACATATGTTAACCTGCAAAAGTTTATCAACAAGTGGGTTAGGCTATCGGGAGCCTAGTCGGTACAATCCCAAGGTTAAACATTATTGAACTTGAATATGATTGAAAACTTAAATCATATCCAAATATAAAACTCATATCTTGTCAAATCACAAAACAGTAATAGAGTTCAAATTTGGGGATAAATATACCACAATCCAAAGTACATTGTTATAGTTGTAAAACTCATAAATATTCACTAGTGATCATATACAATGCAAAGTAGTTACAAAGGAACAAGGCATTCCTCTATAATTCAAATGTAGTCAAGTAAGACAATAAGTACTTGTAAAGTTTCAAATTTCCGGATTTGATAACCCGATAACAAAAATCAATTTGTAAAATTTAATCTTCTCTCAAAATTAGGTAATTAAGAAAGTCAATTCATATAACTACAATGCAATGCATACAACTATCCCAACCCGAGTCAATATCATTAAGTCTAATCCCACATAAGAATGATGGTGAACACTTAAGGTACTCCCTTCAAGTTGTTAGAGAAGACAAGACTCCCATCTCTATAAATCTCTAGGAAAAGGGTACTCCCCTTTTCATTATTCGTTTTAGTGGAACTCCCACCATCGATCTAGGAACTAGATATTCATATCCCTAGTCCCACACAAGTAGTACATGAACACAAAAGTCTCCCATCCTAGTATGAATGCATATATAAGATGTCGAAATCAAAATTTCTAAAATAAAGCTTTTTTCTTTCAAAACCAAATCACTTCCAAAATGTCATTTCATGAATGCACACATAGTTCCATATAGTTGAAACGTCCCAAAAATACCGAGTAAAATTTTCATTTTAAATAAGTCAAAACCATTCATTCGTTATCCCAAAAGATGATCAGGGTAAAATTATCAAAACATCAGAGTAAAATCATAAACAATCATTGCGGAAAAAATCTCCAGGGATGCAGTACGGTCAAGTCGGGCTCTTCCTTTTGAAACTGGAAGTACTTGAAAATGTTTAAACCACAAAACCGTAAGCATAAAGCTTAGTGAGTTCCACAAAATACAACGTAGCATACATATAATTGTCATGGGCTACCATCATGGTCTTTTCTTTGGAATGCCATAGGCTACCTGTAACGCCCGTAGATCTGGGCTAGTCAATTTAGAGATAATAGGGGTCGAAAACGACTTTTCCACAAAAGATTATAATAATCTTAAACAAGTTGTAGAATATGTCCCAAGGGTTCCGTACATATAAAGAACGCCGAAATCCGAGTTATAACGAAGAAGTTATGACCCGTCGAAGTTTCGCGACGGAACCGGCACGACACCGGGAAGCGTAAATAGTGAATTTAAGATAGAGCGACTTTTAGCCTTAGCGACCTAAACGAAAGTCATAGAATACGTTAAACCGAGAGCGTCCATAAAAAGAACGCCCAAATCTGACTCCGTATGAGGAAGTTATGATTTTTCGAAGTTTCAACTTAGCAGTGTACAGCCCGAAGTTCGAATATTAGATCGAGCGGTTTTAGCCGACACAACCTAAACGAGAATCGAAGATCTCGTTAATAGTAGCGTAACGATAAAAAGACAGACGAAAACGGACGTCGGATGAAGAAGTTATGAATTTTTAACGGACCAATCCTGTCCCGGCCTGTTAATAATATAACTTTTAAAATAAAGTCAAAATTAGCCGACGGAGTCTAAACTAAAGTTGTAGAGTAAGTTCCCGCCTACGCGTGGATATAAAGAACGTTGAAAACGGAGCTCGTACGAGGAAGGTACGAATTTTAGAAGTTAAGAGGGTAATTTGCGAAGCTGATGCATGGATTGATGACGTGGCCTAAGTCCCAGCCGTCCGATGAGCTCGCTCTGGATTGTGACACGCCACCCCTCGCATTACGCCCAGCGTCCGAAGCTCGGTACGCCCAGCGTACATCTGTATCCCTCGGTCCACAAGCAGCCGCGTAGCTCTGGTCCTTATCCAACACGTGGCTCGTACGGAGCTCGCTGGCACTCTTATCCGGACTACGCCCAACGTGCTTCGGAGTTACGCCCAGCGTAATCCGAGGTCTGGGCACTATAAATAGAAGTGTGAGGCTGCCTTCTTTCTCACCCCAAAAACTCACTCTCTCTAACTTCTTTCTCTCTCTAACGGTTCCTAACCCCCCTAAGCCTAGGTAAACCTCCTAGCACCCGAAGGAAGCCCCGAGGCTCCCGGAGTCCCAAGAAAAAGTGTCTTTCGGTTCGGAAACGCTGCTTCAAGCGAAGCCCGGTTTTCTATAAAACCCGCTGTAAGTGAGCTACGCCTATGCAATTTTTAATATAGCTTTTAAATAATTATAGTAACATTATTAGGACCTTAAAATAATTATTTTGGCTATTATTATGAGTTATATAGAGTGTTGTTTAACGCTTATATAATTATAATAATAGCTAGACTATTAATTAGTCGCGGTTAACGTTAGACTAAACCCTAGTGGTATTGATACTAGGTTTTGTCAAGGGAAAATTGTTTTGAGATAACGAAGTGTTGTCCGAGTACCAAGTCACCACCTTTTCAAGTGGGTGCATAGTTACTTTCATCTTACACATAGATATGAAGTATTTAATATAAATTACATGCTACGTGTTCATATTTTATGTATATTTTCCGTCTATGCTGGGTGAAAGATTTTTATACATGTTTTAAATGATTTAAACTGTATATGTATTTTATATCTACAAAATGTGTTGGGTAAAACATGGGTAGATGAAATAGTTGTTGTGTGACAAAAATAAAATGATTCGAGATGATATAGACCATGAGATAAGGGTGAGAGGTGAACCATGAGAGAAGCCTTTTACCCAAGTGTTGGCCCTGTCATCTAGTAGAGTATGGATGACAATCACGGACTATTCTAGACAGTCCGGTGGAACAAATAGCAAACTCGCAACCTGTAGGTGTATTTTAACTGTGTATTCACCAGCTGTACTCTAAAAAACCCATTGACACGTATTGCGAGTGGATTCTCGGAAACGATACTGTCGATAAACGAGATAACTATGGCGACTATGAGACTTAGTGCCTAAACCCTGGCGACTATGCGACGTAGTGCCTGTTGTATAAACCCTGGCGACTATGCGACGTAGTGTCCGTTGTATAAACCCTGGCGACTATGAGACTTAGTGCCTATATCCTGGAGACTATGCGACTTAGTGCCTGTAGAGTAAACCCTGACAACGATGGATTTCGTGCCCATTCCTTAGGATGATCCTTAGGAATGAATGAACGAGGAATAGCGAATTCTTAGGGTAGATCCTTAAGAGTAAAGAAGATAATGGGGATGGGTAATTGGGTTGATTGTTGGATGTTTAAACTTAATAATTATATTATTGTGGGTTGAAAACCCTATGTACTCACTAGGTTTCCCAACCTGACCCACTCAGTTTATTTGTATCACAGGTGTCGATATGAAGTTACATTACACTGAGAGATTAAGGAGATATAAATCACTAGTGATAATGATTGTAAGTTCTGTTTATGCTTATGTTTCTGTATTGACGATGACATACCAAATGTTTTAAAATAGATAAAAATACATTTCTTCATAAATTCTTTGATAACGTATTTATCATGTTTTTTGGGAACAAATTCCGCAACATTTTTATTAAAAGAGGTACTCTGATTTTTATAAAGCATAAACAAAATCGGTCTTTTCTGGCCGTGAAAATGGGGATGTCACAGTTGGTATCAGAGCATTAGTTTAAGCAAACTAGGAATATGGATTTATTTCTAGACTTAAACTTAGAATGCTAAGCAATGAGTGAGGAGTGTGTCTAATAAAATTTAGGTAATACACCTGAATAGACACAAGCACTAGCTTATTTAGGAAAATACCTAAAATGCTTTTATGTGCTAAATGATTTATGATATGCATTATATGATCGGATCTATGGTCTGTTGCCGACCGGATCTGGAAACTTTATGTGTTCAGGTTTCTAAACGTTTAATTACGGTATTAGAACTAGCATATTACTTTTCGGAGTGATAGGGAGATTTACACGTCGATCGTAAATAAAATCTTTCCTATCTTAATTCTCGTCATTACA